GATTTGGTGATGGGAAACCCAAGGGGACTGCAACTGAGGTGGAAAATGCACAAAAATATGTAAAAATAAACTAATATTAAAAAAAAAAAACTACCCTAAAAATGCTTCAGCATCGTGAAAACTTAAGGCAGACACACTTTCTATTAAAATGTGTCTGACGAATGTTTTCTCGCAAACCCACGCTGTGCCCGCCCCGGCGCCGAGCGCGGACTTTGTGGACGGCGAGAAGCCACGAGTGGACGGCCCGGAGAGCGGCCAGCGCCGGGAGCCCTGCGAAGGCGCATTTCCCGCTGCGGCTCCGCCGGGGGCAGGCCCCGAGTCCAGGCTCCCCCCGGCCACCGGCGGCGCACCCGGCAGGACAGCTCAGCGAGACAATGATGGACTCTGGAATAAAGCAGGAATTTCAGGTTTCGTCCTGAGCTCCATATCAGATTTCTATTTGGGGTTAAAATTTCACGAATTCAAAGACAAGTGAAAACCGGACCGGAGATTTCTTTTGAAGCAACAGACTGCAACTCCCGAGGCAAACACGCAGCTCAGGAGCCGAGTGGAAAGCAGCTTCCAGCCAGCACCTGCGGGCCTCCCGAGATTCAGAGCACTTTCGCTCTCTTCAGCGTCACCCAAGGGGTCCGCAAGGCGACCGCCGCTGGCCCTCGGCCTTCCCTGCTCTGCAGGGCTTTGTGCTGCTTTTCTAAATGTATCAGCAATTTACAGCTCGGCGGTTAATTGTACCCACCCCCCCATCCTAATGAAAAATGAAAACCAATAACAAGATACTTTCCACATTAAAAAAGGCCAGTCACAGCCAGCGTTATGTGACTGGGCCGATCTCGGCTGGGTGTCACAGACTCCTGGAAGCTGAGTTTACCTGCCGGGAGGATCCCAGCACACCTCAAGCTTCTCCTATTTCTGTCACTAATACGCAAGTGACAATCCATATGTAACAAAGAGCCATAAAATACAGAAAAAACATTAGGATATTTCCATTTTAATGGGGAAACGAATCTAAAGAATTTGCTGCATAAATAATCTGGTAGGACAGCAATGAATCTAAATTTATGCCTTGAAATTATAATGAATAGTAATTAATGGTGAAAAAGTTTTGGAGTAATAATGGAGTATACTGATTTGTAATAGATGAGACTTCGGGATGTTTCCGACAGTAAAGGCTTGGGAGAGGGGAGCGTGTTTACATCTAAGGAGAAGGAGATGTCATTGCGTAAATTAATAATGCAAACTTGAAAAATAGCTCCAGGTTCAAAAGACCAATTATAAAATTCTTTTGTAAACAAATCTATATTCGCATTTTTCATGAATAATTATAACTACTAGTATTCCTCTACAAATGTTCAGTTTATAAAATGAAAAATATATTTTCGAATGAAATTTAAATAATACTTCAGTTTGTAATGATGGTAACTTACCTACAAATACATGCTAATAATGACACAGATGGGAATATTCTACAGGAACAATTTCTATCTAGCTATATGAAGCAAATAAAACCTAAACAGGAAAAACGTATTAAACAGTGTAAGCACCGAGAGGCTGCGGAGGACACTGAGCAGAGACGCGGGCCTCTGAGTGGCCGGCGCTCAGCCTGCTCGGGGTCACCCTGCGCGTAGGCGCTTCTCTGGGCCGCGGGCGTAAGCACTCTGCTCCCAAGTCGTGCCAACAGGCCCCTTTTTGAATACAACCACTGGCTCGTTTTACAATCTTCCTCTCACCAGGAGGAAAACAGGCATGCTATAAATCCGCGTCTCGTTCAGATCCCGACGTCAGCAGCGCCCCCGTGTTTGCCGTCCTGCGCTCGCGTGGGGCGCAGGCGGTGTCTCACGTGAAGACCGGCCTCGGCACTGGCGCAGCGTGCCGAACTGACGTGGGAACACACGTGCGCCCAGATTCACTTTCAGAGGTCACGGACTGCCCGACGCTTCACTGAGGAGCAGCCCTTCACCGCAGGCTCCGGCATTCTCGAGGAACGCTAGCGCGGGCCAGCTGCCGAGCCCCGCGTGCACCCCCGCAGTGCGACTCGGCCGGGCGGCCTCTCTGCACAGCCCAGGCGAGGCGCTCGAGGCCCTGGCCGCGGGCCAGGAGGCGCTTCGGGGGCTGCGCTAGGGGACACGGCGCCGCACCTCACCCGGCCGGCCGAGGCAGACCAGGACTCGGGGCGAGGAAGCCCGAGGAGCGGCAGGCGCGCTCGGGCGCGCGGGCGGCACCGTGGGGACCCATCGCTGCCTCTGCAGCCGCGCTGTCCTGCGTCGTTAGGGTCTCCTCTGCAAACATCACGGAGAGGTAAGAGGATGGAGCTACAGGCCCTTTCAGAGAAAAATAAAAACTGAAAATGACCTGGATGTCTAAACACTAAAAGTAATTATTGCTTATCAATCTAACTCGAGGCCACGTAAGCAGTAAAATTATATTGCAGAACAGTGGTTTTCAAACGAGGCACCTGAAACTCTGAGGTACTCCAGCAATTATCCACCCACTGATTTTGAATTTAATATATTTTTAACAACTTCGGGAACCATTAAAAACAAGTTGATGCATAATATAAAGAAATCTGAACAGACCGCAGGGCTCCCCGGGCAAGGGCGCCCGGGTCCCCGCACGGCCCCGAGCCTGCAGGCGGCGGGGGGGGTGGGGGGGGGAGGCCAGCGTGTCCATGCAGGCAGACGCGTGGCGGGCAGGAGGCTGGCGCGGCCCACGAGCGACTTCCTCCTTGTGCAAGGACACCGCTGAAACCCACTGGGCCTAGCAGGCCGTGTCCCCTCCTCCCCGGGTAAGCGCTTCCACCGAAATTCAGGGGAAAAAAAAGGGCAGCCCTGCGGTCACCAGGCGCCGCCGGGGCCGACAAGCGACACCTCTGAAACACGGCTGCGCAGCCCTTTCAGGCGCTCATTAAGGGTACAAGATGGCGTCTGTCACAGCAGATAGGACAGATGTCACGCCTGCAATCCAGGAACTATGTGACAATGCATACCGTGGACGCCACAGCCATCCCTGGGATAGGCAGGGTCTGCACGCAATCTCGCGGGCAACGTTCTGCTTGAAAATAACTTTGCGAACTGTAGTTACAAGAGATCCATGAAACAGCAAGGTAGCTGCAATTGTCTAGTGTGGCAAAGTGAAATTCAGTGACCCCCCCCCACTGCAAAAAAAAAACCAGTCACAGCTCACGTAGCCGTACACCCCACGGAGAGGCACAGCCCAGAGGGTGTGAGCCCAACAGCCAAGGGTGAGAAGAAAGGAACTTCCATGCTATCGTAATTGCTCTCCTGTGCTTTACAGGCAGGCGACTGTGGCATGGGCTCTTTAATAAGGAAAAAGAACACTCGATAATGTTTATTCTTTAAAGAGCCCACATTACCAGCACCTCAGAAACCGGCTTCTAAGTCTACCTCTAATTGGGTCCCGATTTTACCGAATTTCCGAGAAACACCAATCGAGTGTTAAGAGAGAATTCATAAACTGTTGAATGGATGAATAATTAATGAATGAAATATATCTGCAATATCCCTGCACTAGATGACCTTTAACACAACGCTGAACGCAGTAATGAGGATGATACCGGGATCGCGGCGATATATTTACTGAACGCCCCGCTCGCCCCAGCAAAGGCCCGCGCCCCGGGGCACACGCGGGCGCCCCCGGAAGGCTGCTCCGCAAGAGCACCTCCGTTTCTCTGGCTGCGGGTGGGACGGGCCCGCGCTCCCTGCTCCGGGATGAAGACGATGCCGGCCGGGCCGGGCGGGCTCCGGTTCCCGTGACCGACGTCCCGAGGCACACGGCCCCGGGGCGGCCTGAACATGGGCCTGGCCTGCGGCAGCGATGGGGTGCGGGCGCGGCCCTGCTTCAGCCCACTCCCCACCTCGCTTTCTCTACAGGTACTTGCAGACGAGCAAACAGGCGTCTGGGCCACCGTCACTGCCCGGGTGTCCCCACTTCGCTGCTGGCTCGCAGCTGGGCAGACGTCACCTGGTGCCTGGACATCAGGCCTCAGTACCAGAGGGGGAGGGGGAGGGCAGGCGGTGGGGGG